CCTCCCGGGAGGCGCCAGGAAATGCATCAGAACGTTGCTGTGGGTTACCTAATAGAGCTTTGGCAGGCGGGGCGATACAGCGCCGGGCGGCTCTCATCAGTGCCAATCGGCGTAGATGCTGTCGCGGCACTTGTAGAAGCGCCGCAAGAGGAGGCGCCCCTTCTAAATGTGTGCCCTAGGCCGGCACGTTCTTCGCCTATAGGTGGCGCCGGCCCTAAATACAGAGGGCTGTTGCAGTCTCTAGCAGGAAAGTAATGGCGCAAAAGATAAGACATTATACATTGAAACATGAAATGTGCATAAGGCAATCACTTCGGTCGAGACCGAGATCGATACTGCAAGGTTGAACGCAGAACGGCACCTAACACACCAAACACAAATGAGAGACTGTATTCTAGCAGCAAGACAGCATTACCAGTTTTTCCTTGTGTATGTCTGCATACCACCAAGACTGTGGTAACAGGATATCTTCATTCAGGTGCTGAGTCCCCTGATTCATTCATTTTAGAGAAACTGCAATGTTTTCAATGCTGCACGAAGACAGCCTCTAGTGGCTGTCTACCAGACAGTCACTAGAGACGCTTAAATGATTTTACCAGACTTTAGATCGCCTAAGGTCCGCTGGACACTCTGCATGAGGTCATCCAGTGTCATGGAAAACCTCATAGGAAAGCATTGATTCAATGCTTTCCTATCGGGAGGGCCTAATGCGCTTGCCGTGCTCGCCGCGCATTAGCCCCCTGGTCAGGTGACATTGGAAGAGGTGGAGTGCCTTTCCAGCACCAAGGGACAACGGCACTGGCATTGGGTGAGTAAATAAAGGGTTTTTAAGGACGACTGCGAGAGAGGGGGGTGGTAGAGATAATTATAGGGTTAGGTTTTTATTTCTAACGCTATAGTATCCCTTTAATGAAATGTGTAGGAAGGCCCCTCCATACAAACTGCTTCCACTACACACACTTTAACAACCTCCACATACAACTTTTAATACATGCAGACCGGTAGAGTACCAGTGTCAAATGAATTAAAACAATTGAGGAGAGAGACTTGCAGAGAAATATCAGATAGAAAAATAAAGTTGAACAACAGAAACACATACAATGTGTGATGATAGGCAAGACTAGGATAAATATGAAAAATTAACAGACAAGGTATTTGGCAAAATGGGAGAAAAAAACAAATAACTTTTACTAGCCCTTTTGGTAATACCCCTTTTAGCATAGTAGCTATTTACTGAACGTAGCTGTGGGGGAGTGAATCTCTTCAAGAAAATATTATGCTGTCTTATCTTGAATCATAGTATTAGTCATCAGTGATGATTCTATTTTGCTGTTACCATGGAGACAAATTATATATATTTTTTTTTATTTGTTTAAAACTTTTACACCTTTAGTTACACCTTCAATTTCTTTGCATTATTTATACCCTGCAGGGCTAGTGCTTGGCTGCACCCTATATTCCATTTGGCTATCATTTATCATGACTGGGAGGGAGGAATTAAACATATCTTTGTATAAAATATACCCCATTTATATTTAATGTTATTGCCTGGAGCTATAACTGTCATTGCAGATGCATGGAGCTCATTTAATATACAGTATTTAGATCTGTAGGAGTTATTATTGGAATATGACAATAATATTAACAGTGAAGATGTGTGGGGAAGAAGTGAATATTGTGCAAGGCACTCTAGCTTGTTATTGAGATTACATATATTACTTACTTGAACATCTTAATAGTACACACACCTTTGAAATATAAATTGATAAAATAATGCTTATATGACGGAACAGCCTCTTGGCTCCATAAAGGGATGATGGTGATTAAATGACATGCTTGATTTACAATTTTGGCTTTTTTTTTTTTTTTTAAAGAAGCACTATAGGGTCAAGAACACAAACATGTATTCCTGGCCCTATAGTGTTAAAACCACTATCTAGCCCCCTTGGCTTCCCTAAGGATAGAAAAATCATACTTGTATTCAAGTCTGAAGCTGCTGCCTCTGCCTGTGAACGTCCTCTGGCATCATCAGAAGTGGTGGCCTGATCCAATCACAATGCTTCCCCATAGGATTGGCTGAGATTGACAAAAAGGCAGATCAGGGGCAGAGCCAGCACAATTCAAACACAGCCCTGGCTAATCAGCATCTCCTCATAGAGATGAATTGAATCAATGAATCTCTATGAGGAAAGTTCAGTGTCTGCATGCAGAGGAAGGAGATACTGAATGTTTGGATGCATTTTAGGCAGCCATGACCCTGGAAGGATCTCGGACAGCCATCTGAGGAGTGGCCAGTGAAGTTATCACTAGGCTGTAATGTCAACACTGCATTTTCTCTGAAAAGACAGTGCTTACAGCAAAAAGCCAGAAGGAAATGATTCTACTCACCAGAACAAATTCAATAAGCTGTAGTTGTTCTGGTGACTATAGTGTCCCTTTAACAATCAGTTAGAAACGCACTGCATCTTGCATACAATACTGTTTCTGAATAACCTGTTGGGCATGTCCAATTATATTTTTATGAAAATACATATTTTGTGGCAGCAAATAATTACATAATCAGGAACCCTCCCTCTTTCCAGCTTTAATATATGTTCTGTTTTATTTGTTTATTTTTTTAAATTGTTAGAGGAACACTACAGTATTTCTAATGCTGTAGTGTTCTTCTCACTTGCTGGTTATTGCCACCCCCCTGCAATTGTTAAGCAAAGATGTATTGACCTTATATCCTATGGCACGCATGACTTTTTGTGATAACGTAATAGTAAAAAGGCAGAAAAGGAAATTAAGAAAATTCCTCACTCACAATAAACATGTAGCCGCAACTCTAAAATTAAATAAGCAAGGATATACTGGTTTTCATCATACTTATAGCAGTTCAATAGGTGCAATAACAGGGTAACCTTCTCGGTGCTGAAATCCTCCCAATAATTAAATGATACTTCCGACAGGACAAGTTTGTTGATCCGCACTCATAGGGAATCCCCCCAAAATGAAGAAATCATAGAAAAAATGCACATTTATTAAAGTCAAAAAAGAATATGCATATAGCAAGATACTAGAAAAGCAGTCCTCATGTATGCTGTATTGGTCCATGCACGTGAAAAATAAAAAAGGTTGTGAGTGAACAAAGTATAAAAAGTCCAAAACCTGAGCATAGGACCATCCGCAGCTGCTGTACAGGGGGGAGACAACCAAAGAAGCTGACCCTAAAGAAAGATTAGAGAAGCTCTGGACGCGTTTCGCACCACTATGGGATTCCTGAGATTTATAAAGTAAGAGGATGTGCAAAAGTACTGGTCTGTTGAGACTAACACCCTTAATTAACTGATTGAAATCTCCACCTTTTACATCCTTTCAATACCAGAATAATCAGATCGCTGTATTTAGAGTTTCCTTAAAGTTAGCTTGAACCCAAACTATATAAGTATTAACCAGGCAGGCTGAAATGACAAGATATAAAGAAAAAGAATAATAATTATATCTCCCTTATTCCCTGATTAATTCCAAAACATTTTTATATTGAAACTGTATATCTTGATGGAGATTTTTGATGCATCAGGCAGATGTGATGGAGGACGCGGAGGGAGGAGCGAGTTTGAGTGAACGATAGCCCGCAAACGCTGTGTGTACGATCTGCCAAGCACCAAACAAAGGATGAGAGAAGGAACGTTTGAGAGCCGAACAGAGCAGGCATTTAAGAAACAGTGTGGGAAGTGTTGAGTAGAGGCGTCCGGTTCCGTGAGACGGGAAGCTAATCCCAGGAACGGCAGAAAAGAGAGGGTATGTGCATGCCAAGAAGCACCTCAGTGTCAGTGCCGTACCGAAGGGGGTTTCTGCGGGTCCCAGACAGAGGCTCTCTGTAAGGAGGAGGTTGGAGTACAAAAAACAGTATTCTGAGGGACATTGCTGCACTTTGGGATACTTACCTTGGAAAAACCTTCCATCCTTACCTTGGGATGGAATCTAAACTGACAGACATCTGGTGGTTGTGAGCTGAGCCAAGCTGCAACTGACAGGGAAACTGTGAGTTAAACGCATTTAAACACAGTTGTTTTTTATATATATTTTTCTATATATTTTTTTATTTTTAGTTATTTTCTTGTACTAAACAAACTACCTGGTAATAATCTGTTGATAACCTGTTGGAGATATACAGCTGTACCCTAAGGAGGCATACAACATTATATACAGCAAAGACTGAACTAAATATTACAACTTTGATTAACTTGACTGAACAGTAAGACTTTACTGACACCCGGATATCCATCTGGAAATTCATTTGGACACTTTTTCTCCCCCTAAAGTTTCAATTCCATCAAGTGGAATTTTACCTTGAAAATTATTTTTAAAAAAACAACGGAAAATTCCTCCGCTCTGTAAGTTAACCAACTTAAGGGTGCATATACCCGAATGCCTACTCTCTGCCAGTTCCATTTTAATCCCATTTATAGATAATAATAGCAGGTGAAGGACAATAAAAGGATAGAATCAAGCAGATACTACAAAAGAAGGAAAAGAAAAAAAAATTACATATTTTATTTTTAGAAATGGTTACTAAAAAAGGTTAAAGCAAAACTGAAAAGGCACAGAAGAAGAAGGAAGAGAAGCAAACGAAGAGAAAAAAATAAAAAGATTAAAAACCGGCTTCAATATTTGCTCCTGTAAGTACAAAGTATTTTCAGTTGGATACATCACAAAATCTAACAGAAACATGTATTGTAAGCAGCGAAATGGAGAATGGTAAAACCTAACTGGAAGCGACTCAGAGTCTCAAGTAACCACAATGGACTCTTTAAAAAAGTACATCGATCAAAAATTTTCTCAAATACAAAAAGACATGGACAGAAACACCAAAACAAATTACAACAGAAGTTAAATGGCTGGAACAAAAAATTGAAAATACCCACTCTCGACACAGAAGGGGGACACAGACAAAGAGAGACATTACGCAGAGGGCGACCAAGGCCCAGACCATCCCAACCCTACCCTTCACCCCCATGCATAACCCATACCACCCACGCTCACAAACCGACTCAACCACAGCTCCCGCAGGGCGAAACAGACAAAGGGAAATACCAAGAAAACTATTTGAACCTCCGACCAACCCACGCATACCTGACGCCCCAACCACCTCCCCTACTCCCTCTCCGGACCACAGTAAGGACAAACAGCTAGGGAGAAACAGTTAGAAATCAAACCCTCATAACACACAGCTCACACACCAAACGCACGCCACACTCCCACACCAACACACAACGCTCCCCCGCGTGCCCCCGGTGGAGACCAGCAGAGGGAGCCCACCGAACGCATGAGGGAGACCATCCCCAGCCCACACACCCCCATTCCCCCGGACTGCAGGGCGCCGGGGCTGGCCCGCGCCCCCGCCTGCGCAGACATGGCCCCTCCCCGGCTACAATCCCCCCGCAGACACCAGAAGACACCCCAATCAGACCTCAGAATCTACACGATCAACGCCAAAGGGCTCAACTCCCCACAGAAACGAGCAAGGGCACTGAGAGGACTGAAATCCCTGCACATTTCTACTGCGTTCTTCCAAGAAACGCACTTTCAAAAAGCCAAACACCCCAAATTCTCAAATAAACACTACCCACTGAGCTTCCATGCCACCAATCCAGACTCCAAGACCAAAGGGGTCACAATACTCTTCGCGGCGGACATACCGTTCCGCAAAGAGGAGGAACTTGCGGACCCAGGAGGCAGATTTCTCTTCCTGAAAGGAACTATACACAACACGCGATTCACGTTCGCTAACTTATACCTCCCGAACAAGGGACAAAAACCCTTTCTAGGGCGAACCCTCACATTGCTAGACTCCTTTAGTGATGGCAAACTAATCCTCGGAGGAGACTTCAATGCGCCTCTGGACCCTAAACTGGACACCTCAACAGGCCACTCGACCCTCCCGAGCCATGTCCTCCGAGGCATGAAATCCACCCTACACGAACTCCACCTGTCGGATTGCTGGCGCGCCCTACACCACCAAGAAAAGGACTACACCTTCTTTCACCCCCTCCACCCCCCACAACTCATACTCACGAATTGACTATCTGTTTCTCCAGCACCGCCACCTGGACGACCTCCTTACTCAACGATAACCCCCATGACCAGGTCGGACCATGCCCCGGTCATCATCACACTCACCTCACCAACGCCGTTCCAGAAACACTGGAACTGGAGACTGAACGAATCACTACAAGAGGATCCCCTGATTCACCAAGATGTGAAACCACACATAGACCAATTCTTCCAAACAAACAGCCGCCGGACTCCGCCCCGGATAAGATCTGGGAAGTGTACAAATGCGTGATTAGGGGCGTCCTGATCAGACATGGCGCGCATCGAAAGCGACAACACACCCAAGAAACGGCCGAACCTGCGCGAAAGGTGGCGGACCTGGAGAAGCAACATAAGTCCACCTTGGCCGATGATACATACTCACAACTAGTCATCGCCAGGGCAAAACTCAACTCCCACCTATCCCAGAAGATCGCATTTCAATTCAGGCAAACGCAGAAGACTTTCAACGAATACGGTAACAAAAGCAGGAAATTACTAGCGAGAGCCCTGAGGAAAACCAGACAAAAAAGCTTCATATCTGAGATCAAACATAATGGAACCACCCACAACACACCGAAATCAATAGCGGAAGGATTTCGCACTTACTACGAAGCACTATACAACCTCCACAGCCAGGACGGCACCGGAGAGGGGTCGGACACCACAAAGACCCAAAAATGTAACGAGTACCTCACCAAGTATCTCACCAACACGATGGACACAGATATGGCCGACGCCATGGAGGAGCCGATCACAGCGGAATAAATATCACAGGCCCCAAAAATGGGAAAAGCCCAGGCCCGGACGGCTTCACGATCAAATACTACCGAACATACCACGACTCACTGATCCCGCACCTACTGAACATGCTAAACTCACTCAGACAAGGGGGGACCCTGGACCACAACACCTTGAGAGCACACATCGTGGTGCTACCCAAGGAGGGAAAAGACCCCACGACTTGCCCGAGCTACAGACCAATCTCCCTGTTGAACGCCGACCTGAAACTCTTCGCAAAGGTTCTGGCACTCCGACTCCAACCAACCCTGCCACAATTGATCCACCCAGACCAGGTGGGGTTCATAGCAATAGAGAAGCCAGAGACAACACCACCAAAGTAATTAACCTGATACAGGCGGCCAGGAGGCAACAGACGCCCGCTCTCCTGATCTCCACAGACGCGGAGAAGGCGTTTGACAGGGTAGATTGGACCTTCCTCTTCGCAACACTACAACACCTCGGACTGGGACCGAACATGAGGAGGTGGATTGAAGCCCTATACAACGGACCATCCGCACAAGTCTACGTGAACAGCACATTATCTACACCATTTCAGATACACAACAGTACCCGGCAGGGTTGCCCCCTCTCGCCTCTCCTGTTCGTGTTAAGCCTAGAACCTTTCCTGAACGCGATCCGCACCAGACCGGATATCGGGGGCATAAAAGGCACATGGGGGAAAGCAAAATCTCAGCCTACGCCGACGATCTGCTGTTCACAGTCCGAGACCCGCAAACCTCACTTCCGGCAATCATGCAGGAATTCGAAACGTACGGCTCATTATCCAACCTCCGCATCAACTACTCCAAGTCGGAGATCCTACACCTGGGATGCAACCGCGCCCTGATTGCGACCCTTAAAGCACGATTCCAGCTACACTGGCGCAAAGACGACCTCAAATATTTAGGTAAATGGCTCACAGCGGATCCCTCCCATCTGTTCAGACAAAACTACCCCCCCTCCTGGAACGCGTCCTCAAAGACCTAGCAGAATGGGACGTACCACACATCACCTGGCTCGGCAGAGTGAACGTCCTTAAAATTAACGTCCTATACGTGCTCCAAACGCTCCCAGTACTTATCCCGCAAGCCTTTCTGGCCCAGGCTCGTTCAGCCCTCACGAAATATGTCTGGCGGAATCGACCAGCCAGGATAAGATACGACATCCTTACAAAAGCCAAACCGCAGGGCGGACTGGGACTCCCGGACCTGACCAAGTACCAACAGGCTACCCACCTACAACGTATAGCCGAATGGACCCTGGGGACAAAAGACAAACTCTGGATAGCCATAGAAGCCAGCTTCTCAAAAGACCCACTGAGCTCGCTCCCGTGGCAACTCCCAGGCCAGACAAGAAGATATGACACCAGACACCCCACGATAGTGGCAACACTGAAGGTGTGGAGCAGGATGGCAGGGAATCAGTACCTCGCCTACAAGTATCCCATCTATACCAACTCTCAGGCACAACACAATTCCACATGATCAACAACTCCCAGACCTTGACTAACTTGGGCCTTCCATTCCCGTGCAGGCTACAACACGTCCTAGTGAACAGGACCATTCCCCCGTTAACGGAACTGCCCACACCCACCCCTCCTGACCACATGACTAAATTCCGATATCACCAATTGGGGAGCGCACTGAAGCGAATCCCCAACCTACCCTCGGCTGCTAGACCCCTGACCTCGTTTGAGGCCATCTGTACGCAAGACGCCCCCACGCCGCACGCCATATCACTCCTCTACCAACTACTAAACTCACCACAAAGAGACCTTGGGCATCCGCTGACCCAAGACCAATGGACCACAGCATTCACAATGACACATAAAACCTTCATAAGCACCAGATACCAAGAATTGGGATACAAAATGATATCGCACTGGTATAAAACACCAGAGAAACTGGCCACTATGTATGACACAAGCGCACCAGAATGTTGGAGATGCAGAACTGAGCTGGGCACGCTATACCACATCTGGTGGACATGCCCGCGGATCAAACCCTTCTGGCATGAAATAAACCAGGTGGTTACAATGCTCACAGACAACGCCATAGAACTCACGCCAGAAAACTACCTACTACACCTGACTCCTCTACAACCCCCCGTCTACAAAAAAACGATCACCCCGTACCTAGTGAATGCGGCACGTAGCCTAATCCCAACATTCTGGAAAAAATCCATAATACCAACCCTGACGGACTGGATAACAAGGGTAGAAGACATAAGGACTATAGAGGAAATGATCCTGACTGCAAAAAAGAGACCCCAGACGTACCTGAAGACATGGTTCCACTGGCTACAATGGCTAACCAATAGACCAAACCCAGGACCACACCCACGACGGATGGACAACGACGGTTGAGGGCCTACGGACACAGGGCAACACACCACGCAGACCTGGAGACAGGGCACCTGAGGACCAAGGCAGCGACACCCGAAGACCGCAATGGGAACACATGCAACAGATTGTGCCACCGACGGTGGGGCGCGGGGGCTCTGGTCCCGCAGGGTGACCCCACCTCAAACCCCCCCCCCCAGGAACATGACATACTCCCCCACAAAACACTAAGACAGAACGAACTCAGACATACCGCGACAGGGCCATGCTATACCACACAGAACACCCGTCCCATCCCCACGGTCCTAACCTTCACAAGACACAAGAGACCTGAACCAACACTGAACCCTGACCGTGGACATGGAAGGATGAGACCGGGATCCAGGGTGAATGAGACCAGACTCCAGGACCAGGGCACCACGCTAGATAAGGGGAAGCTGACACTACCTATAGAAGGGCTGCGCCAAATAAGGGTAGATAGTCCAGTAAAGTATTGCTAGGTTGCCAATAGATGGTCTAGGATACTTGATAGAGTTCCTCTGTGGATGCGTCTAGTGTAGACCGTTCCGTATATGTAAATACAAGAGAGGTAGAGGCGACTAATGGTATAGTATGAAAGTTCAGGGTGTGATAGGTAACAAAAAGTAAAGAACTCACATTCAAGAGAGCTATGGCCAGCTCTGGTGTGGATTGCGTACAGCGGTATAATCCCCGCTTATGGGATATGTAGGGAGGGGGTCTCCGTCAACACCGTCTGGTAGTCCAGAACTCGGAAAAGAAAGACAGAAAGCAACAATAGTGCTCTCAATTTTGATGTGGTTCAATGTGCAGATAAGAAGAGGTAAAAACTCACATTTGAGGGAGCTATGGCCAGCTCTGGTGTGGATAGCGTACAGCGGTATAATCCCCGCTTATAGGATATGTAGCGGCGATACGTCCGTCAGCACCGTCTGGTGATCCAAGGCTCCAATATAGAAGAATAAAAAGCAGCAATAGTGCTCTCAATTGTGATAGGTTAAGAGAGTAGTAGAGAAAATAAAATAATACTCACAAAGATAGAGCAGAGGTACTGCTCTATGGATAGGCGCCGGTGGTATGATCCCCACCTAGGATTTCTTGGAGTACTGGAACTTTAAAATTGCCAGTGGAAGTAAAAGTAACCAGGAAAGGTTAAAATGCCAGGAATAGGTAAAAAAAAATTGTTTAAAGTGCATAAAGAGTGCAATAAAAAGAGGATTGGTACAATAAAGTAGCCAAAAAACTTTTATTGATCTAAAATGCACAGTAAAATACAGAATTAATAACCATAAACGCGTTTCACCATAAGTGTTTCTTCAGAATGGGATAAAAGTATTAACCTGACAGGGGTTGTTTAAATAGGGCTATGTTAATTTGAAAATTGCTCCAAAAGTGTAATTGGCCAATCAGAGACAATTTTTAAAATCACTTTTCAAAATTAGGATTCAAGAGTATGGGAGTGATGTTATAAAGGTTAAGAGTCCATTTAAATTATTTAAATGTGAAAACGAGGGTGAGAAAGTTGTTTTTTAAAGAGAAAAAAAAAAGTTGTTTGATTAAAGTTCAAAAAAAAAAAAAAGTTGTTTGATTAAAGTTCATTAAAAAAAGTTGTTTCATTAAAGTTAAAAAAAAATATTTAAGTAGATGGTTTAAAGGTACAGCGATAGAGAGATATATGTAAATGGAGTATGCATGAAAAGGGGGTAATATAATCCCAAACATAATGATTTAAATAGGGGTTATATTATACCCCAGAGTAATAATATATTACAGATGTTAAATGAAAATAATAGATAAAATAAAAATAAAATTAAATAAAATTATATAAAAGATAACACAGAATACAAGATACATAAATGGAAAGGCATAGATGAAAAATTAAAAATTAAAAGATTATTATTATGAGGGTTGGTTAGGTCCAGACATAAAGAATAAAAGCATGTAGATAAGGGTTGTATATAGGAATTTAAATAAAATTAAACAGGTCAAAATCAACATTTAAACCAGATGGGGTAAGAGTTTTTAGATTAAAACCCCACTCCATCTCAGCTTTACCTAATATGTTCTTGATGTTACCACCTCTCCATGGTATTATACATTTTTTTATGCCGATGCATTTAAGGTGTCTTATGTCGTTATTATGTGTACAAAAGTGTTTGGAGACTGAGTGATTCAGGTAGCCTTTTTTGATATTTCTACAGTGTTCACTCAGTCTCACTTTAAGACTTCTTGTGGTCATACCTACATACTGGAGACCACAAGGGCACTCCAACAAGTAGATGACATTTTTGGTATTGCAACTGATAAAATCTTTAATTTTATAGGTTTTGTTAGTGATATTAGATTTAAAACTGGTGGTTTTGGAAGGGACAGAGGGGTCTGTGTTTTTGCATACAATGCATCTTTTACATTTATAAAAGCCACTGGCATTGGGCATAAAATAATTAAAAGTAGGTTTGGTTTCTTTTGTACCACCAATTTTACAAAAGAAACCAAACCTACAATTAACTTTTATGCCCAATGCCAGTGGCTTTTATAAATGTAAAAGATGCATTGTATGCAAAAACAAACCCCTCCGTCCCTTCCAAAACCACCAGTTTTAAATTTAATATCACCAACAAAACCTATAAAATTAAAGATTTTATCAGTTGCGATACCAAAAATGTCATCTACTTGTTGGAGTGCCCTTGTGGTCTCCAGTATGTAGGGTGACCACAAGAAGTCTTAAAGTGAGACTGAGTGAACACTGTAGAAATATCAAAAAAGGCTACCTGAATCACTCAGTCTCCAAACACTTTTGTACACATAACAACGACATAAGACATCTTAAATGCATCGGCATAAAAAAATGTATAATACCATGGAGAGGTGGTAACATTAAGAACATATTAGGTAAAGCTGAGATGGAATGGGTTTTAATCTAAAAATCCCCATCTGATGTTTAATTTTATTTAAATTCCTATTTTTTTTTTTGAACTTTAATCAAACAACTTTTCTTTTTTTTTTTTCTTTAAAAACAACTTTCTCACCCTCGTTTTCACATTTAAATAATTTAAATGGACTCATCACCTTTATAACATCACTCCCATACTCTTGAATCCTAATTTTGAAAAGTGATTTTAAAAATTGTCTCTGATTGGCCAATTACACTTTTGGCGCAATTTTCAAATTAACATAGCCCTATTTAAACAACCCCTGCCAGGTTACTACTTTTATCCCATTCTGAAGAAGCCACTTATGGTGAAACGCGTTTATGGTTATTAATTCTGTATTTTACTGTGCATTTTAGATCAATAAAAGTTTTTTGGCTACTTTATTGTACCAATCCTCTTTTTATTGCACTCTTTATGCACTTTAAACATTTTTTTTTTACCTATTCTTGGCATTTTAACCTTTCCTGGTTACTTTTACTTCCACTGGCAATTTTAAAGTTCCAGTACTCTAAGAAATCCTAGGTGGGGATCATACCACCAGCGCCTATCCATAGAGCAGTACCTCTGCTCTATCTTTGTGAGTATTGTTTTATTTTCTCTACTACTCTCTTAACCTATCACAATTGAGAGCACTATTGCTGCTTTTTATTCTTCTATATTGGAGCCTTGGAACACCAGACGGTGCTGACAGACGTATCGCCGCTACATATCCTATAAGCGGGGATTATACCGCTGTACGCTATCCACACCAGAGCTGGAAATAGCTCCCTCAAATGTGAGTTTTTTACCTCTTCTTATCTACACATTGAACCACATCAAAATTGAGAGCACTATTGGCGCGCTCTGTCTTTCTTTTCCGAGTTCTGGACTACCAGACGGTGTTGACGGAGACCCCCTCCCTACATATCCCATAAGCGGGGATTATACCGCTGTACGCAATCCACACCAGAGCTAGCCATAGCTTTCTTGAATGTGAGTTCTCTATTTTTTGTTACCTATCACACCCTGAACTTTCATACTATACCATTAGTCGCCTCTACCTCTCTTGTATTTACATATACGGAACGGTCTACACTAGACGCATCCACAGAGGAACTCTATCAAGTATTCTAGACCATCTATTGGCACCCTAGCAATACTTTACTGGACTATCTACCCTTATTTGGCACAGCCCTTCCATATCTTTTTGTATCTATCCACCGAAGGACCCGAGGGGTTTTCCTTCATTTGAGTTGCTGCCTACCTTGACTAATTTTGTGATTACTAGCGCTGAATTCTTTTTGTGTTTATCACTACCTATAGAAGCCCGCCAAACGAGTCCCCCACCCATCGGGCCATAAGCCATCGCCCCCAAACTACTAAACCAACACCACCAGCGGCACACGCACAAGAACACATCCCCCACACTCACAACCTCACGAAGACATACAGATAGCCCGACTGACCCCAACCCGGAGACAACCTCGAACCGAGAGATATAACACAAGGGCGCCACGGCACGGGTTCTGAACACAGACGCTCATACAAGGCAACCAATAGGGACGGACCGCTTTATCCCGCTACGAAATCTGACCTAGATACATTATATAGCACCCTAACATCGGCTAACCAATTCCTTACGGAAGACATGCAATGGCATCCACTGTGCAATATATCGTAAAACAATATCACCATAGTCGCTACGCCTTATAAATAATAACATCAAGTAAAGATGGAGATTCCCAACTAAACTTCTAATATCTTATGAAAATGCAACTTTAATTTTTTATTCCAGTCAAAAGAGCACCACCTGACTTCAGACCAAAAAAATTAAGTGACCCATTTAGTTCATTGGATAGATTGAATGTTAAATGATGTTTCTTTTTTTTTTTTTTTCTCATATTTTATTTTCTATTTAACACTCTATTGCATAGTTAATGGTCTCGAACTATAAAACAACGGAAAATAATGGTTATGTAATAGACTGTATTGGTGTAAGATACAACAATCTATAGAAGGTCGTACAATTAGAGGCAATAGAGATGCTGGACGGCAGAACTCTAAACAAATTTAAACTCCAGAATTATAAAGATAATAATGTCAATATTTGGGACTCAAGTTTGAAATAAATATTCAACAAAGGATGGGGGGAAAAGGGTGAAAAAAGGGGAAAAGAACTAAAGACCTATAGGAAATAGAAATCAAACAATTTTAAACTTTGTATACCATTTAACTAGCACAATATAAGTTAAGTTAACTTAGTTGTTTCTGTTAAAACATATAGATTACTGAGAGATGGGGGGGACACTGAAAAAGGGAAGAGGAAGGAGGGGGGGAGACACTATAAAAATAAAATAAGGATAGCGTGAGGTAATGAAATTAAAGATAAAGATTAAAATATAGGTTTCAGTTAATGAAATATTCACTGAAACTTTTATGGTGAACTATAGAGAGGTATTAATAGTTGAGAATTGACACGTATACGATTAAGTAACCCTTTGGTGGTTTCTCTTCCTACCTATCCTCTCTCTTACTATCTAACAATGGTTCAGGAAGGCATAGAGTTGTACTGAATAAAGTACTGAATAGATTTATAAATATTGTTTCAAGTTATACTGTACTTATTACAGTCTACCGATATAGCATAGTGGAAATAAAGAAGGAAAAGAGGAAAGGGAGAGGGGAATGGAAAAAAAAAAAGAAAAGAAAAAGGATATGTACTTTTTTAATAGGTCAATATCTCGTTAAGCAAATGGGGTATGTCCAGTCTTTTTTAGTAGCCACTTGGTCACAAACACTGGCCAAAGTAAGTGTTAATATTTGCTTGTGTGTGAAATGCAAAAACCTAATTTGAATGCCAATTTTGGCAAGTGTTTGTGATCAAGTGGCAACTAAAAAAGACTGGACATACCCCATTTTCAATACCTTGGGTTGTCTACTATTGCAAATGGCATGCCATCATGGGGTAGTTTTCATTCCTGGGCTACCATACGGTCTCAAAGGCAACGTAAACAATCTGGTGAATTTCAATGTGGAAAAACTGAAACGCAAGCCTTATATTTGACTCTTTTGAAAACACCATAAAACCTGTACATGAGGGGTACTGTTATACTCAGGAGACTTTGCTGAACACAAATATTAGTGTTTCAAAACATTAAAATGTATCACAACAATTATATATAAGTGCCATTTGTGTGTGAAAAATGCAAAAATGTTTACTGTTTTGAAACACTAATATTTGTGTTCAGTGAAGTCTTCCAAGTAAAACAGTACAGTTTTAATCTTTTATTATTCATTTTACAGGCAGCAGAGGGAGTACCTGTCATTACATAAAAAAAAAAAAATTACCATTTGATGTCTTCTTTCTTCTAAAGTCTCCTTTTTTTTCAGCCCCTTGCTCCGCCCTGCAATTAGACTCAGAGCACTCTGATTGGTGGGTTTAAGCCATCCAATCAGAGTGCCCTGACAGGTAAATGAAGGGACTGACAGGTAAGTCTCTACATTTACCTGTCACAGCACTCTAATTGGTTGGCTTGAAATCCACCAATCAGAGTGCTCTGTGTCGTTTTACACAGCGTGGGAAAGTTCTTTGGAATTTTCCCACGCTGTGTAATTTGACTCATAACACTCTGGTTACTTAAGAACTCGCGTATAGTGAGTAGGGGCAGAATTTACTAATACTAAGTAATTTTTACTTAAATTTGGCTGAAAGACCAATTTAGGTCTTTCAGCCTTTTGGTAGATAGCTCCCTAATACCGTGGGAATTAGGGAGTTATCTACTAAGCGGCTGCAAGAGTGCCCTTAGTGCCGAAGTCCCGAAATTCCAAAATGCAGAAGTTCCGAAATTCCAAAGTTCCGAAGTGTTGAAGTGCCGAAGTTGCCGAATTTCTGAAGTGCCGAAGTCCCGAATTGCGGAAGTCCCAGAATGCCAAACCGAACTGAAAATTTTCCCCATGCACATGCCTAGTCTTTACTTATGTTTTTAATGATATATGGGTTTATTCAGAATTTCATATTCAAATTGTGTAAATATATGGCGTTATATGAGGGCTAAGAATGATGGGGTTCGTAGTCTTTCCCATCAGCACGAACAGGGAGATGTGAACGAAAGCCCAGTGACGTCACATGCGCCGTTCGTATAGACAAACAAGCGAGTACATGGTAGATGAACTTAACCTGAATCACCATACTGGCGTTCGGACGGACAGACGAACAATCATGGGAAACAGCTGAACAGCTTCACTTACCTTGCCGAACGAGCAATATATTGGACGAATAGAGGTGGAACACCCCTTTATAACTTGGAACAAAAATGGGTGCAGAACATGCCGATTGAGAAAGCCTGCACAGCGGGCAAAACACATCTCTGACACCAGGAGGACTCTATAATTGTATATATATATACATTTCTTTTAACCATTTTGTTTTTATCTCCCTAGTGGAATATCTTTTATATTTACTTTGTAATATAATAAAGTTTAAATAGACTACTACGTCCTCTTGAACCATCTATTCTACATCCATCTACAAAAAGGGGGTTCATTGCCACTCCATATTCTGGCAAGTAGGTGAACAAACTTGGAGCCAGTATTTTATGGGCTCCAGAACCAGGTGAGTGACTTCATTTTCAACTATTAAGTTGTGAACCCATATTCAACCATCTGCACTATCTCTCTTGTATTTTGTGTTTCCTATATGTATACACTGTACTAGAGGCTGCGAAAGAGAATAACAAGAAGGTTACTGTTGCTACCTTAAAGGCACAGCAAGCGAATACGTTCAGAGCCATAGCGTTGAAAAAGCTCCCGAGTTGTGAGCATTCATTTCTTTACTTTCCACTGTATATACAACTATCCACTGACGATATTGTACCATTATGTATTTCTTTGTATTTTGTCTTTTCGATTATATATGATAAACGTCTCATGTTGTATGGGTAAGCCTGCTGAGCTTTTTTAGCGCTGCACTATACTCTGCTGTGTGTGTCAAGGGTAATATCACCTAAACCTGGTTTTCACACATTGAGTGTTCCTTTTCTCATCATTATATATTATACTAATACACACATTAATATACGTGTGTGTGTGTGTGTGTGTATATTACTGTCTGAATCACATCTGTCTGTACATTGTATTAGCAAGATCTAAAATCTATTTAATAAGACGTCTTTCTCTAACCTGTCAATTAGCTCTTCGGCATAAACTCCCATGCTAAAGAACTGAGTTACAGGGAGAGCAGGAGACACAGGTGAAAATGCTTCCCCTCCAAACACACACACACACACAAATGCATCTTCTCTTGCATTTCTCTTAACTCCCTTTTGAAGTTCTTGCCATTTTCTTTGATTTTTCTACCTTGTTTAGTGTATCTTGTCTCCATATTTTCTCCTTTGTGTCTTCTCCAACCCCCCTTGTGTGTCTCTTTCAACTTCTCTTGTGTATCTTTTACTTCATCCCAGCCCGTGTGTGTCTCTTTTTACCCTTCTCCAGCTCTGTGTATGTCTCTTTCGCCCCAGCCCCTTTAATATGTGTCTTTGTCCCCCCTAACAAACCTTCTGTGTCTCTTTGTCTCCCCCCCAGTCCCTCTGTGTGCCTTTCTCCCCCAGCCCAGCCTTGCCCCCCACAAACCTTCTGTGTGTCACTTTGTCAACTTCCCTTCTGTGTCTCTTTGTCCCCACAACAAACCTTCTGTGTGTCTCTCTGTCCCCCAACAAACCTTCTTTGTCTCTTTGCCTCCCCCCAGCCCCTCTGTGTGTCTCTTTCTACCCCTCACTGCTCCTCTTTGTCTCTCCCAAGCCCCATGTCTGTCTCTTTCTCCCCCTCTCCCAGCGTCTCTATCTTTTCCCTCTGTCTCTTTCTTCCCCTTCCCCTGTTTCTCTCTCTTCTCCCTCTGTCTCTTTCTCTCCTCTCCCCCTGTGTCTCTCTTCTCCCTATGAGTCTTTCTCCCCCCTTTGCATGTGTCTCTCTGCCCCTCTGTGTCTTTCTCACCTACCCCCTGTGTCTCTCTTCTCCCTCTGATTCTTTCTCTCCCTCTATTTCTCCCCTTCTACTAATTTGTTAAAACATGCACTTGTTGCTTTAGCATGTTTATAAACAATAATTAAAATGAGAAAAATAAATTCTGTCAATTGAATTTTCCCTTAATAGCTTTAACTACATAAAAAAAAAAAACTAAATTAAAATAATAATAATAATAATAAAAAAAGAAACACTTCTAAATGTTATGCTGCTACTATGGTAACAACTCAACTCAACCTCTCTCCTCGTATCACATGGAAGACTGACAAAAATCAGAATACAGCAACAATTCAAATTATTAAATAATTGATATCTGCATTTTGTTTGGTATTCTTTCCTGGTAAAACAACATTAGGCTTTATTTTCACAAAAAAAAATATTTTAGTGTTTTGTTTTCTGTAAAATTTGCTATTCCCTTGTCATATCTCATCAATTCCCGGTTTAGTGAATTAACCCCACTGTGATTTTTACAGTCACCAGAAACAGTAGCTGAAATAACGTTAGTTTTCTACAAACCAGTAATTTTTTTATATTGTGTGGGGGTTATTATTTTTGGGGATAGTAGCAGTGAAAGTCATTTAGTTAACCCAAAATCTCCCATAACAGCTACAGGCACTGTGCACAGACAGAAAAGTTTCACTCACTTCTTTGCTGCATTAGCAGAATCAAGGCTTCAAGGAATATTTTCTGCCTTGTGCGGCCGGTTTAAAGGATGCAGCTTGGTTTCTATCATGCTCCCTCGTGGTTCCCACAATTCCCAGCATGGACACATGATAGAGTAATCCCTACTCTATGATGTGGCTGTGCTGGGAATTGTGGGAACCGCGAGGGAACATGATAGTCAGGTCTGCTCCATCCTTCAGTCAGTATAAGCGAGTGTGCCGCCGGACCGGCTAGGCGGCCACCCGGCCCCGCGGCACCACCATACACTACATGGCCGGCCACAAGGTAACTATCGAACGCGGCCAGTCCCTCAGTGTGTGCGGACACAATGTTACTAAAACTGATTTTGTGCGCTGCACAGCCCCCAGGTACCGCGGGCCACCAGGAAATTTCCCAGTGTCCCGGTGGGCCAGTACGGCCCTGGCATCAATGGCATCTGATTCCAAATATCTTAAATAAAATAAATTCTAATAATTCAAAGTTATGTTGGAGATGTCATCGTGCAGAGGGCAGTTCTAAGCATATTTGGTGGGACTGTGCATAGATTAGATCTCTATGGACTATGGTAATAAAATAAATGTACTGTTTGGTTATGGAGGATAGGGATCTTGATTTTATGACTGCTTTGTTTCATTTCAATATGTCCAGATTTCCACTAACAACAAGATTTCTAATAATACAACTACTCATGGCCATAAAAGTAGTCATATCAAGGCATTTGGTTACAACAAATAATCCCAAGTTGGTCTCAGGTCCTTTTGCAACTTAAATATCAATGTAATATGGCAAGGGGCATTTATTCTCAATTGCCTGAAAGCTCAGTTTTTGATAAAAGGTGGCTTCCCTGGAACAAGACCTTAAATGGATAGCCTCTTCATTCTAATTCATATTTCTGTTATACGGCATTCCAGAGTAACTGATTAAAATATAGCATTCCCCTTATAAATTACCCAAGACTTAAATTGAGAATCTGTTTCTAAAATTCTAAGGAAATAAGCTTTTAAAAAGTGTGCCTTCTGATCTCCGCTGAACCATTGGTCTGCACCCGAACTGTTTAGTTTTTTATATAAGAATTTAAGTCTTGTCTATAGACTAGAGTTGAGCGGACACCTGGATGCAGGGTATTCTTGTTCATGGTTCAAACTGAGCTCAACTCCTGATGCATGGAGAAAAGGCCTTCACAAGCCTCTGCTAATGTGTACCTAGTTTATACTAAGTGACCCATAGGTTGAGGAGGCGGTGACCGTGGCAGTGGAGGAGGAGGATGAGGTAGCCAACACTGTATATATATATATAGGCAATTGAAATGGTTGGCTGCACTCTCGGATTTCCTTAAAATGTAACTTTTATTGAACTATTTAAGAGAAGATCACTGTTTCAGTCCCTCTTGTGGACTTTCATCATGATCCTGATGCAAGTCCACAAGAGGGACTGAAACGTTGATCTTCTCTTAAATATTTCAATAAAAGTTACATTTTAAGGAAATCCAAGCGTGCAGCCAACTATTTCAATTGCCTATATATATACTGGATACTGGAGCCCTGGTGATGCAACAGTATATATATATATATATATAATTTATTTATTTTTTATTGATACATTTCTTCTTCTTCTTCTTCAAAATATTAGTTCTTTTAGGGTAATTAAATTATATAGTAACGCATACTCACACACAGACAATCTTACTGATGCACACAAATAGGCTCATTGACAGACAATCTCAATGACACACACAGACAAGGTTACTGGCACACACACAAATTTAGTACAGACAAACTCTGATATACACACACAAGCTTACTACAGACAAGCTCACTGTCACACACACGCTCACTACAGACACGCTCACTGATGCGCACACACTCTCCCTACAGACAAGCCCATTGACACACACATGCTCCCTACAGAAGAGCTCATTAACACACAGATTCACTACAAACAAGCTCACTGACACACATATGGTCACTACAGACAAGCTCACGATCAAACTCATGCTTACTACAGACAAGCTCACTGTACACACATGCTCACCACCAGTGGCGTACATGACCCATGGGGCCCCGGTGCAAAAATTGATCCGTGGGCCCCCCCCGCAACACATGGCGGAGGGCACCTGGTCGCAGGGGTTACAGGGCTGCGACCCCTGCGACCTCGGTATGTACGCCAGTGCATGCAGATGCACACACACTTAAAGGACCACTACAGACACCCAGATCACATCAGCTCAATGAAGTTGTCTGGGTGTCAGGTCCCTCTAGTTTTAACCCTGCAGCTGAAAACATAGCAGTTTCAGAGAACTCTCTAACACACACTCTAACACCCACATGTTTAAAAAAAAAAAAAAAAAATTTAATCCCCCAGCCTCCTTACCTTTTGGAGTGCTGGGGGGATCCAGTGGTGCTGCTGGGCCGGCTGGCGGGCTGTCTGGCCGGCGCGCGAGGGAGCACTCTGCTCTGAGTGCTTCCTCTTCAGCTCCCTCGTGCAAGCCGCGTAGGGATGCCGGCGCCGGAAGATGACGTCATCTTCCGGCTCCGGTATCAGTTCGGTGCGCGAGGGAGCTGAAGAGGAATCACTGAGTGCTCCCTCGCACGCCCGTCTGCCCGACCGGCCACCCACCTTCCGGGTGTCAGCAGGGCCAGCCTCGGGGGGCCCTGAGGTGGTCGGCTCCTGGGCCCCCCCAGGGGAAGAGGCTGGCACAGTGGATACACACCGGGTCGACCCTAGTATGTACGCC